CACCCAAAATAGATTCAAGAGAGCCATGACATAACACTAGCAAGTCATCCGTAAAGCAAAGGTGGGTAAGTGAGAGTCTCTTACATTTTGGATGAAATCTAAAGATTCGTTTTTTGGCAGCAACATTCAAAAGAGAGAAAAGAACGTTCATTACAATGATAAAGAGATAAGGGGATAAAGGGTCCCCTTGTCTAATACCCTTGCCCCCTTAAAAAAATCCCCACCAAACTACCATTCAAACAAACTGAGAACATAGGGGTAGTAATACAAACTTTGATCCAATTACAGAACACATAGGGTAGCCCCATGGCCTCAAGAACATAAAGCAAGAAAGACCAATTAACAGAGTCAAAAGCCTTCTGCAAGTCAATCTTGATTGCACATCTAGGAGAAAGGCTCTTCCTAGAGTATCCTTTCACTGCCTCTTGAGCTAAAAGGGTATTATCAACAATATTCATTTCTTTGACAAAGGCAGATTGGTTATGAGAAATCATGCCAGGGAAATAAGGAGTGAGCCTATTAACAAGTATTCTAGTGATAGTTTTGTAGACCACTGAACAACAAGAAATAGGTCTAAATTCCTTAGCCAAACATGCATTTAAGGATTTGGGAACCAGAACTAAGACAGTAGCATTAAAAGCAGGCAGCAAACAAGATGTTTGGAAGAAATACCTAACAACAACAATGAAATCATTGCTTACAATATCCCAGGCAGCTTGGAAGAATCCAGAGGTGAACCTATCAGGGTCTGGGCTTTTGTCTTTCTCCTCCCTAAACAGGGCCTCTTTGATCTCATCTTCACTCACCTCCTTAATAAGACAAGTAGCAGCATCCACAGGGAGAGAATAGTTCAGTAGATTTTTCAATTTATCAACAGAACAACCTTTAACTAATAGATCAAGAGTGCCTATGAGATTAGTGAAATAATCCACTAATTCAGCGGCCATTCCTTCAAAGGAGTCATAGCTCTGCCCAGCCTCATCTTTAATAATTCTGATCGTATTCTTTTTCTTGTTGGATTAGACCCTTTGGTAAAAGAACTTAGTGTTCAAATCACATTCCTTCAGCCAATGTACTTTGGCTTTCTGTCTGAAAAATTCAGATCCAGCAATCTCCAAGTCAACTAAATCAACATGAATTCTTCTTTCTTCCTCAAAACTTCTCTAATTCATATAGATCAGATTATGAATTTGCATACACTCCAGTTCAACCCTCTTGGTTCTGACCCTACCAGAAATATCAGAGAAATACTCCAGATTGAACTCCTTGAGAAGAGGCTTAAGTCTTCTCATCTTGTTGAATAAACAACTCATGGCATATCTATTACAATGATTCTGCAAAGAAGCCCTGACCATATTTAAAATTGATCATGCCCAGTCCAGCAATTAAAAAACTTGAAAGGACGTGGTATCTTAGCTAAGGTTCCCTTGTGGGTCCACAGAATTCCAAGGCAATGATCAGAAACCCCCTGCGCCTTGAATTCCACAAAAGATTCTGGAAAATCCAGAAGTCATTGATCATTAACCAAAATCCTATCCAATTTACGAGCTAAGAAGGCATTCTCTTGTTTGTTTGACCAAGTGAATAGAGGCCCAAGAAAAGGATGGTCTATAAGGTCAAATCCCTCTAAACAATCCTGGAACTCCTTCATATCAGGAGTGCAATGGACACCCGTGACTTCAAAATCAGAGCTATCATCATATTTGGAAATAATGTTGAAATCTCCCCCAACCAGCCAAGAAGAAGAACCAATAACATTACCAACAATATGTAAATGATCCCAGAGGGCTCTTCTTGAAACACCATAGTTGCTACCATAAACAGCAATAATAGATGTGGTATGGCCATCAACAATCCCAATAATGGAAATAGCTTGGTCACAACATCTCAGAGTAGAGAATAACAAATGCTTCCTCCAAAAGATCCACAATCTGCCACCCAAAACATAGTTGTATTTCTCCACAAAATTCCAATCACTAGACAGAGTAGCAGTGAAACTAGCAGAGTTAATACTCCTAATATGCGATTCTATCAAAGAGAAAACATTAACACTATAAGATTCTAACCTTCTTAACACCTTCAACTGTTTAAGAGGGTTGTTGATCCCTCTTACATTCCAAAAACTAACAATCATTAAGTTGGGATCTGCTGGGCACAGTTGCCAATGCCCAAATTAACCACTAAACTCTTAGCCTTCTCAAGCTGATCCTTCTTCTTAGCTTTTATTTCATTGAGAAGAACGACCACACCCATAGAGGCAGCGCGAGCTTTCCTATAAGCATCAACCACAGCCTCTATTTTACTTGATGAGCCAAAAATTTCCTTTTTCCTACCCTTTACCTTTTTCTTAAGAGAGTCCTGAACAGAATGGAACTCCCCTGAATGGACAGCTTCCAGCAGGTGTTGATTAGCACCCTTACCCTTATCACCCTGAGTCATCCCATGCACACCAGAGTCAGTCATCTTCAGAGTCTCAGAGGAAGATAAAGCACTAGCACCTACACTGTCATTCTCCCTAATAACCTCCAAATTAGGCTCGTGAACCTCCTGCAATGACAGTACTGTAGTTTCCATAGCTTTGCTAACCTGTAGCTCTGTATTAATCCCTAATTCCTTAGAATTATTAGCACTACCAATAGGAAAATCTGAGCTAGACATCTTAGATGTATTAACAACCTCAAAAGTCCCCGAATCATCAGCAAAAATTACAACCAACACAATATTATTGGCAGAATCAACAATACTACTATCTTTTCTCCTCTAAACTTGTAACTCTCTAGGTTTCTGAGGAGGCTGCCTAGCCTCAATACAAGAGTTAGCAAGATATCCAAAAGTTTTACATATAGCACAACATCTAGGAAGCCAAGGCACAAGAACTCTAACATTCACACAAGACCCATTCTTTAAGAAAACTTGAATAAACTCAGGAATAACAGCTCCAGCTTCAATCTCAACACAAATCTTAGCGAATTCGAGCCTCTGTCTTGAAGTTGTTATAAAATCCATGAATAAGGGTTTGCCTAGAGCACTGGCAATGTAGCTAAGCCCCTTATGAGAGTAAAGCTCTAATGGAACATTATATAGTTGCACCCAAATCGGGAGGAAAGAAAGATCGAAGCAAAGCTTCTGTATACCAGGAGTCCAATCCCTTAAAATTAATGGTTTATTATGTATATGCCAAGGTCCATTTTCCAGAACCCACTCCCTCAAACCAACATCCAAGAATGAAAACACGTAGAGATTAGGGCCTGCGAGACTAACATTAACTTGCGACGGTTTCCCCCAAATTACTTCGATAATACGTTACATAGATCCAAAGCTCGGGGACGAACCAATAAATTGCCCCACCAGAGCATGGTTCCAGTCTGCAATTCCTTCATCGATCACCTTAGGCGGGGGATTAACAGTGACCACACCATCCCGTAGCCCAGGGGGAAAGAAATCGAGCGACTGATTCTTCGAGCCCCCAAACAAATCCTTCCAATCTATATTAATAGAACCCGATTCCATACAATAAACTAGAAAAAACAGACCAAGAAACCACCATAAATCAAGAACGAAGCAAGAATTAGAAGAGAAGAGGAAAATCTGAGAGGCCATTAGACCTGCTAACGTACGCCCAGAGATCCCCCATTTTCAACCCGTCTTATGATATAAAGGATATCATTTTTCGAATTTCTGTTAAAATCTTACGTTTAGATTTTAATTTCTTGTTTTGGTTTCAGATAGGTTTAATTATTTTATTAGTTGTCTGGGTAATTTATATATTAGATTAAATCTTAGATTTCTGGAAGAAAAAAAAAGATCGTATTCAAGATATCGAAAAAGACTGAAATACCGTAGATCTGTAAAATGACCAGAATACCCCTATAATGGAAATGACTCAAGATAAATTATGCATCTTTTGAATGTGTGTTCGTTTTCACAAGTTTATAGATCTACGGTATTTCAATCTTTTCCTTTCATCCGGTCTTATTATTTAATTCCAATTTATCATTTATTTCAGTCCCTTCGAACAATTCTGATAAAAGAGCACCCTCCGATAAATTATTCTTCAGGTATTTACTCATAACTCGGATATTTTCGGGTCAAGTGCCTTCTCATATTTAACAAATGGAATATCATGAATTTTTCTGTACAAAGACAGGATCTTAACAATTAAATACATACTTAATCGAGTTAAGTACGAATCCTCAAAATTATAATTAAACTCCAAAAGATTGTAAATCTATAAATTGATAACTAAACACACTGTCAAATTTTAAAATTTACGTATAGGTTTAAAATATTTTTCGAACACATTTTTCTTCAAAAGTTCTATTTAGCATTCTAAAAATATATATGTAACCCAAAACACTTTTAAATAAACAACGATAAACAAGACTTTAAAAATTCTCAAGCTCTTAATTTCCTCATCGATTTAAACTTTGAACCTTGAATCCTAAACCTTAGACCCTAAATCATGAACCTTAAACCTTGAAAATATATATTTTCAAAAATATATAATTTGAATTTATTTTTTAATTTATAACAATATGATTAAAATGATAATTTATCTTTCAAAAATATATATTAAATAATACTAAATTTTAAATTTAAATTTTTTTAAAAAAAATATTTTCTTTCGCACTTTTTTCGAAAAAAATTGAACTAAACTATTTTTGTCTTGAGTTAATGCCAATTGTTGTTAACGTGCCTGAAATGCTTCTGGTACAACGAATTGGGCTGGGGCCAATTGCAAGCGGTCACTTAATCGAAACTGACAGCCCAACCGCGTTTTAATTTTCCTTGTTTGAATTTCGGTCTTCTCATTTACGCATTATAGGTAGCCTTGTTTGAAAAATGACAGACTTGGCTCTTTAAGAAATCCTATGAAACACGTAAACAGGCACAGCTCCATATAGATTACGTTGCCTGTCTCTATCTCCATCTCGTTGGCAGGTAAAAGCACAACATAAGCCTCTGTCTTGCCTTGTTTGTTTGTTTGTTTGTTCTCTTACCTGTTAAAAACCTACTCTTGTGCTACGAACACACAGGTTTGTAATTGGTCAAGCTTATGGGAAAGAAGCTTGATGCCTTTCTTGGACGTGCCTTCAAGCCCTCCAAGTTTAAATCACTATTCAGTCTTGCAATTTCTCGTCTTGCTGCTTTCAAGAACCAGCGTCAGGTTCGCTGCAACCAAGCTCGTTCAGATGTCATGCATCTCCTTCAACTTGGCCATCATGACCGGGCTCTTCTTAGAGTAAGATTCCTTTCATCGTTTGTGCCAATATATATATTTTTCTTTGTTTTTCTGTTTGGAATTAACCTGGGTTTTTATGGACAGGTTGAGCAGGTGATCAAGGAGCAAAATATGTTGGACGTCTTTGTGATACTGGAAGGGTATTGTAATCTCGTTAATGAAAGAGTCCATCTCATTGAGCAAGAGAGGTTAGTTTCTTTATCATTTCCTTTTTCCTATCGGGTTTTCAAGTTTCTTCATAATCCTCACATCTGTTTTGTTGCAGAGTATGCCCTGATGAACTCAAGGTGGCAATATCTGGCTTGCTCTTTGCATCTTCAAGGTGTGGGGATTTTCCCAAGCTTCGAGAGATTCGTGCTGTTTTTATGTCTTGCTACGGAAAAGAATTTGCTGCTTCTTCCATTGAGCTGCACAACAACTGTGGAGTGAACAATAAGGTAAGTCTTGATTTGAAGTGGGAGTGTAGGTCCTTACCGAATGGGGCCAATTCCAAAAACTAATACGAGAACCTTACTGTTGGTTTTTGAAGTTGGAGTGTAATTCCTTTACTATTAAAAGTAGCATATAACATCAGATATGTGAAGAGCGTTCTTGAGATTGCATTATGCTTACTACTAGTGGTAGCTTTGTGAAGGAAATCTACCGAGAAGGTTTTTGTTGTTGTTGTTGAAGTTTTAGTATTGATATTATATGATTCAGTGGCAAGACAGTGTTGATGACACTGAGCGCTAGAACAACCCGGCTAAGCAGATCAAACACTGATTTGCATTATGAATGATTTCACACAGAATACAGATCCTAGCATTTCTTGCGAAATGTGAACTGTGTTTAATCGATTACTGCAGTATGCTATAAGTTAATCTTTGCCTCCCACAGATTATACAACAGCTGTCAACGAAACAACCAAACTTGCGGAGCCGAAAGAATGTGCTCAAGCAGATTGCTGCTGAAAATGGCATTCCATTCCAGTGACGTATGTAAATTACTATAAGGATCAACTGGCTAAACTATAGAAATAACTCATGGCATGTTAGTTTTGTTACAAATACAGGAAAATTTGGATGTAAGCAAGAAGCAAAGCCAACCCAAGCTATAGACCTTAGTTGAGGCAAGTGACAATGCAGGAGATGATGATGAGTTGTCTGATTCAACAAAAAGAAGGAAAAAGTACAGGGATGTAGCTGATGCAGCTCAAGTAGCCTTTGAGTCAGCTGCCTATGCAGCAGCAGCGGCAAGAGCAGCAGTGGAACTCTTTCGGTCTGATTCCTATGATCCTGATTATCAGAACAGTCTCAATACTCGACAAAAAACAGTGTCTGAAAAACGTGAAACAAATTTCAAGGATAAGGAAAATCATGGTAGTCAAGCAGAGTAGTTGGAAATCGAGTTTTCTAATCCTTCTTCGAGTGAAGGTTCAGCAAAGGGAATCATAGACCTTGGGACAATGTCCTTCGACGAAGTGGACCCAATCCAGCTATGGGAAAAAGATGTGGTTATTTATGAGAGTGACGATGATAAATATGATGGTTCAAGTTTTGATCTGAATACAGAGGGAAGGTCTTAGATACAGATGAGGAAGATGAGCACTCAGAAAAACACATTGACAAATGTGTAGCCTTCCCATTCAAGCTTTCATGTTGGTTTGAAGTTGGAGACTCGATTTGAAAACCCACTGAACATATGGCTAAAAGTTAATGAATTAAAGGTGCACTTTACTAAAAATAAGTGGCCTTTTTCTTTGAGGAATTGTACCAAGCGACAGGATATTGAGGAGCACGAGTAAATTAAATGTTTGTAAGTTTGGTGAGAGTATTGACTGAGTGTATAATATGGTTTTTGGTCTTTTTCTTTTTGGTACATTTACAATTTGGGGGAGGGGAATGCCTTTCATAAGATGTAATCTCGACGTATGATGATTTTGGAATGATTTATGAAACTTTCAGTGAAGAAACTAAATACAACCTAAATATGGATCATCATCAGAAAAGATAATGGATTGGTGTTAAGCCATCCCTTTATATTTACAATCAATGTCTGGCTTATGATTAATTTGTTTCTCATAGAATTATGCTTTGGCTTGTGATATTAATATTCAAAGGTTATAATTATATATAAAACCTAGCATTGCATAAATGAACTGACAATAACATTGGTATGTAACGTGCATTTTAAAGAGTAACCCACTCTGAAGGATCCAGAAGTAACAGTTTAGATCTAACTAAGATGAAGAAACTACAGATATCTGAGTCAGATTTATCTCTAGAGAAATACCAACATCTATGTCTGACTTGATGACCAAGTATGTAAGGCTTCGGACTAAGTTACTGACCTCTGGTCCGCTTCTTCCCATGATGAAGGAGCTCAGAGAATGATTGTAAATTCACACCAACATCTTCATCATATTCAATCCCCAGTTCCTCCTGCAAACAAACATTAGTCTCTGTCAGGTAACTTTTATGGTGCAACATGTGGCTTCTTGCTGTGTTGGCACCTTGAATTCCTTCAGATCCTTAGGTGAGTTCTCCGTGATAGCATCCCATAGATCCTTGAACATCCTTTTCCGCTTTCTCCACTGGCTTATTTTATCAGAATACATGGCTTCAACTGCCTTTTTTTCCTCTGGCATAACCAGGGTTACTCCTCCACGCAATTTAACTAATTTGTCCTCCATCTCCTTAACCTGATGCATAACAAATAATGTCAAAAAATTTCCTCACTTCTGCAACCAGTTTTGACAAAGATAAATGAAAAGCTTTCATATTGGCAAAATAACCATAACACGTACCTCTTTCCTCAGTTTAGCTTCCTTGTCATGAATCTGTCCCAGAGTTAGATTTGACCGCAAGCTTTTAATTTCTGCAACAACAGTATATATCCATGTTTGCATGACACAATATGACAACATTCACTTTAAATAAAATAAAAAGGTTAAACCGAAAGGTTAGAATCTTAAGATATGGGCTGACATGTTAAAAAAGTATAAGCTACCCCTTCTGCAGAACACTAATATGATGTTTGAGGATTATCATTTTATTACCTCCCTCAACCTCAGTGATTTCTTTCTTTTGTTGATCAAGGTGTTCCTTCAGTTTGGCATTTTCTTCCTTCATATAAGCTAGCTCTTCATTGTTGGGGATATCGAACTGGTCTTGACGAGCAAGGTATATCTTCTGCTTACCATACTCCTTGAATGAAATTTTTCCGCTATCGGCAAGAGTATCCAATGCTTTTTGAATGGAAGCCTTTTTGAGGTTATACTTTTGTAAAGAATCCGCAACATTTTGAGAATTTAGAGGCCGATTTTGCTGGTTCATAAAAAGAAACGTCAGGTTAGAAACTGTTTTCAACAAGTAATCACAAATACTTGTAGAAATGAACTATCAGTGAATTCTTCTTTATCTTAATTCTGTTTTTTTAATGTCGGTTTAAAAATAGAAATGTACGGCAAAAGCTGAGATAAGATTTTATCAAAATGAATAGTCTCGCCATCATCCAAATTATTATTGTTATTTGTTTTTGTAATTCACAATTACTTGAGAGTGGAGTTAGGTAGCCACATGCTTAAGATGAAACTTCATTTCTTAACTGCTCGAGGATCTACATATCAAAAGTCATAATTACTCTCCATTTGGTTGACAATAAAATAACGCAAAATGGAGGAAAATAATTTTAAGTGAAGTAGCGTGAAATAATGAAGAGAATAACTTGAATACGATCTTTTTTTTTTCTTCCAGAAATCTTAGATTTAATCTAAGATATAAATTACCCAGACAACTAATAAAATAATTGAACCTATCTGAAACCAGAACAAGAAATTAAAATCTAAACGTAAGATTTTAACAGAAATCCGAAAAAGGAGAAAAAACGTTTACCTCGTTCACGTAGTTGAGGACGATTGCTGGAAATTAAATTTTGAAAGAGGAAAAAAATAAGAACCGAGCTTCAATCAATCAAGACAATTATCATCGAGATTTCACCTCTGGATATTAAGAAGAGAGAGACTGCGGTACCTTCGGTGCTATCGGATTTTGGAGGCATCGGTAGGAGAACTTCAATTAAAATGCGCAGGAAAACAATTCCTTCTGACGATCTGTTTTCCCCTCAGAAAACGAAAAACAGAGGCAGATATTGTGTACAACCAAAGACACCAAAAAGAAGGCAGTATCTCTATATAGGGTAAATTAGACATATGGTCTCATAAAAAAGTAACTTAAGTACTCTATTTTATAGATTCGTTTAATTTTAATCCCTCAATTATTTCGTGACAATGAAAAGAAAAAAAATCACGTGACTTCTTCATCTTCAACCAAAAAAGAATAGTTTTATTTTCAACATATCCACCAAGAGACAAAACCCCACCGATCAAACCACATAAACAACCACTCCGATGTTACTATTAAAAGAATAATGCCTCATAAATTTTATTATCCTACTAACCTTTAATTTATAATACAATGTTCAAACCATTATACAAGAATTAAAATCTAAATGCTTGTAACTACTTCTAACATCCTATCAACTAACTCCTAACAAACTAACTAACATTTGTTATCTCAACACCCCCTCAAGTTGGTAGGTGAAAAACATTTGAAACCCCCAACTTGGCTGTCAAATACTCGTGCTGGTGAGTGCCAAGTGCCTTAGTCAAGACATCTGCAGGTTGCTCCTTTGAAGATATGTGTTCAGCTGTGATAAATTCTTCTTGAATCTTGTCTCTAACAAAATGGCAATCAATTTCAATGTGCTTCGTTCTTTCATGAAATACAGGATTAAAAGCAATCTGTAATACTGCTTTACTGTCACATAACAACTTAGCAGGTTGATCCTGTTTCACTCCTAGTTCATTCAGCAATCCACTTAGACAAATTAATTCTACTGTAGTCATAGCCATACTTCTATACTCAACTTCTGCTGAAAAATGAGCCATTGTGTTCTATTTTTTCGACTTCCATGAGATCAAAGAATTGTCAAGTTTTATACAATATCTTGTTACAGATTTCCTTGATATTGGGCAAGTTGCCCAATCAGAGTCACAGAAGGCGATTAAGCCACATGTACTTGAAGAATCTAGCAAAATTCCCTGCCTTGGACTCTTCTTAATATATCGTACAACTCTCAAGGCTGCTTCCATATGCACCTTTCTAGGCTGATGCATAAACTGGCTTAGGTGTTGTACTGAATAAGCTATGTCAGGCCTGGTGTGAGTTATGTATATAAGCCTGCCTATGAGTCTTTGAAACTGTGTCCTATCTATTATACCTTCTTCATTTTGCTTCAAGCACTTAGTGTCCGAAGCAGCAAAGAAATTATTATTCTTCTCCAAAGGTGTTAAAGCAGGCCTTGCTCCCCTCTGCCCCAATATCTTTTATTAATTCTAAAGCATATTTTCGCTGATTTAAGATAATTCCCTTTTCTGATCTCAACACTTCAAGCCCAAGAAAGTATCTTAATTCACCCAAGTCTTTCATTTTGAACTTAGAATTCAGTGTACACTTGAGCTCTTCTATCATATCAATATCACTGTCAGTAATCAGCAAATCATCTACATACACAAGCATAATGACCAACTTGTTTGCTACTCGCCTTGTAAACATCGAGTAATCATATTTACTTTGTTGAAATCTTGCTGATATAAGTGCTTCAGACAGCCGACAAACCATATGCTCCCCCTGGCTGGAAAAGCCTTCAGACAACTGCATATAGAGTTCTTCAACCAAATCTCCTTGCAAGAACGCATTGTGAACATCCATTTGCCACAACGGCCAGTCAAAGATGGAAGCAAGAGCCAAAATCAGTCTCACAGTAGTGAGTTAAGCAACAGGATAAAAAGTCTCCATATAGTCAACACCCTCTTTTTGATTGTACCATTTGGTCACCAACCGAGCCTTGAACCTTTCCACCTTATCGAAGCATGATACTTGATTTTGTAAACCCACTTGCAACCAATGGGAACTTTACTAGAGGGAAAAGGTACCACAGTCCAAGTATTTTTCAATTCTAATGCTTGAATCTCTTCTCTCATGGCCTGCTACCATTGTGGATTTTGACAGGCTTCTTGATAAGTGGCGGGCTCATTAAAATGAGAAATGGAAGGTAAAAAATATTGAGTATGTGAAGGTAAATGATAATAAGAAATGTACTCAAAAATGGGGAAAGTAGCAAAACATGAAGTGGATTGGCAAGTGCAGACATAATCATTTAATCAATTTGGAGGCTTAGAGATATGAGTTGATAGTCTAGACACAAGTGGATCTTGAGCTAAAGGAGGAATACCATCATGAGAAGACTCTAAAACAGAAGGACTATCAGATGCACCTGTTGAAAAATCAGATGGAGAAATGGAGGGAATAGGTGACACAACAGGAATTTCTTGTGAAGAACTTGAAAAATTATCAATATGAGATGTATTAATAGGTACTGAAGAATCAAGGATTAAAAAATCAGAATCAGGAATATGAGAATGTGAAGGAAAAAAGGAGAAGATTCTGAAACAGGAAAATGAAAAGGAAAAATAATTTCATGAAACACAACATCTCGACTCACAAGAAATTGCTTTGATTGAAGACTAAACAGAATGTACCCCTTTTGAGTTGAAGAGTATCCCATGAAAAGACAAGGAACAACCTTATGAGAGAACTTGTCAAGGTAGTTAAGCTTGGTAGCATAACATAGACAACCAAATACCCTTAAATGAGAAAGATCAAAAATTTTATGGTGAAGGGCTTCAAAAGGAGTTTTGAAATTCAAAACAGAAGAAGGATATGTATAACAGGATGTAGTAACACAATCTCCCCAAAAATTGATTGGAACTTTTGAATGAAACCGAAATGCCCTTGCTACTTCAAGTATATGTATGTGTTGGCGTTTAGCAACCCTATTTTGTTAGGGAGTCTGAACGCATAAACTTTGATGAAGAATTCCAAGTGAGCTAAAAAATTTAGAACACTGAGAATTAAAGAATTAAGTGCCATTATCACTGCAAATAATTTGAACAGTGGTTGAAAATGAATTTTTTAAGAGATATAATATTATCACTCTTCAATCTGAACTAGTGTACCCAAGTCATATGAGTAAAGTCATCAACTATAATTAAAAAGTACCTATGACCACTATGTGTAGCAACTCGATAAGGACCCCATAAGTCTATATGAATGAGACTAAAAGGAGCTTGTGAAGAAGTAAGGCAGACAGGAAATGGAAGTCTAGTTTGTTTTGCTAAAGGACATATAGGACAAGAATGCAATAACTTGGAATCCAAGTTAACAGAATGCAACAAGGGTAATTTGTTCATAGTCAAAACAATAACATGTCCCAAACGAGAATGCCAAATGCTTGTATTATTACTAGAAATAGTTGTCATACATTCAAATGACACATGACCACAATCAAACAAATTTGAATCATATGACATGCTAAAGGAAATATTAGAAGACAACACACTTGAACAGGTATGTGTAGATGACAAACCAGAAGGAGAAGCTGATGTCTGAAAAAAATAAAGCCCTCTATACTCTTTACCAATACCCTTCATCCTTCCACTTGAGAGATCCTGCAGAATGCAAAAGTCAAGATAAAAACTAACAAAACAGTGAAGGTCACGGGTAAGCTTTAAGATGGAAAGTAAATTGCGAGTGAAATTTGGTACATATAACACATTAGATAGATTTGTGGTTGAATTTAGAAAGTATGAACCAACATATGTAATTGGGATAATTTTACCATTTGCCAATTGAATGGTCCGTGAGGAACACAAGACAGGGGATTTCAAGTATTGAAAATCAAATAATATATGATCTGTAGCACCTGTATCTAAAATCCAAGTTAGTGATTTACTAGAAGTAGGTAAACAACTATCAATGATACCTGCAAGATTCACAGCGGAATCAACAGAAGCAGCAGAGGATAAAAGGCTAAGGATATGGTTGTATTGCTCCTAAGTAAAGGTAGGTGCCAAGGGAGCAGAGGAATTCACACCAGTAGGGTCAGAGGCAGCAGCAGGGTCTGAGACAGCTACTGCAGCTTGAGTATTCTTTCGTTTAGAGAACTTAAAATCGGGTGGAAACCCTATAAGGCAGTAGCAACTATCTCATTTATGACCCTTGATCTTGCAATAGTCACAAACACCTTGAAACCGATGAAGGTCAGGAATCCCATAGCTTTTGGAATAAAGCACTGATAAATCCAGACTTGAAGGCATAGCAGAGAGCTGAATTCGTTGAGACTCCTCTTGAGCAATCATGGAATACACCTAGTTTACCGAAGGAAGAGGCTACATGAGTAGGATTTGGCTTCGAACCGACGAATAGGTTTCATTTAGGCCCATAAGAAATTGATGAAGCTGCTGCTGGGTAATATGCCTGGAGTACTACTGCGAATTTACAATCGACACAAGTGTGACATACTCATCCCATAATATCTTCAATTTGGTAGCTATTTCAAGATGGAGGAAAAAGATTCTGGAGCAATTTACCTTATCAAAACGCTCCTTCAAATCGTTCCACACCAAATCCGCATTTAAGGCAAAAACAATGCCAGCCGAGAGCTCCTTACTCACGACGTTGAGAATCCAGGATAGTACGATGGCATTACACCTCTCCCACTGAGGATGCAAATCAGGATCGTAATTCTCTTTCTGGCAAGAACCATCAACAAAGCCAAGCTTGTTTTTCGCCAACAACGCGATTCACATCAATCTACTACAAACGTCGTAGTTCTCCAATCCGACTAGTTGATGAGAAATTAGCGGAGTGCCTGGAGTGTCTGATGGATGCAAGAAAAGAGGATGATTGAAATCAACCAAGGCCGATTCATTCATCGGAGGCATTGCGGTGGAGATCGTCGAACGAAAGCCTTAGGAAACCAATTTGGGGAAAAGACGAGAGGAGAGCTGTTGTGGGAATGAAACCTAGCCACACTACCCGCTTTAGAAATGGGCCAAACAAAGAAACCCAAATAACAAAGGCCTGGAAACTGATACCAAGTTAAAAAAATAATGCCTCATACATTTTATTATCCTACTAAACTTTATTTTATAATACAATGTTCAAGCCATTATACAAGAATTAAAATCTAACTGCTTCTAACAGCCTATCAACTAACTCCTAACAAACTAACTAACATTTGTTATCTCAACAGTTACCAATTTTTGATTACCATA